CGGCCTTTCCCTGGAGATTGGCTGGCTGGACTCACCACCCGCCCTGTGACTTGGGCCGAGAGGACTGCAGGCCCCTGGCCCCTGAGTTTTCCGGCCACCACCATCTCAGAGCCCTTGAAGAAGAGCCGGAAATTCTCCCGAGTGACCATCTCCACGGCGCTGCCTGGATACTCGAAGGCCACCGACGTCAGCAGTGGGTTGGCCACCTCCTGGTAGAAGTCCTGCAGGGCGAGGGGCGGTCAGGTAGGCCGGGGGTGGCCTCCCTGTGGGCCCCACCCTGACGGCCCCGTGGGGGGTTCCCGCAGCACCTGCAGCTGCAGGGCAGAGTCGGAGTCCTGGTAGATGCGCCGCACCAGCCCCCCGTTGTCCAGCGCCAGCTTCTCCAGGAAGGAGTAGCTCACGTCGAAGCCGAAGCCCAGGCAAAAGAGGCTGTACTGGCCGCCCACGGCCTCCCGGACATTCTCCTGAATCTTGGAAGGGTTGGTCTCGCCTGCACCCAGGGAAGGGCCGGGCATCTGTGAGTCCCTTAGCAGAGATTTCTGGCATCTCTGAGCAGGGTGTCTGCCCCTGTGGGCCACCCCGCCCCCTGCAGGGCACTCACCCACGGTGGGGTCCCCGTCGGTCAGCAGGATGATGAGGGACACGCTCCCCGCGGGCAGCTGCTCCTTCTGGTTGCTGCTGTCCAGCAGCTCCACGGCCATCATCATGGCGCCGTTGATGTTGGTCCCTGAGGGGCAGACACTTAGTGAGGGGCTGCTCCCTCCCCCAGACCCTGCCCAGGGCAGGGCAGCCGGCCAGGTGCTCACCTCCATGGGCCTGGATGCCAGCTGCATAGCGCTTGGCCTCGTCCACGTTCTCGGCTGAGGCTGGCACCAGCAGGGGCCTCCAGGGGCTGGCCTCGCTGCTGAAGACAATGAGGTTGAACTGGTCCTGGGGGCGGAGGTCGTCCAGGATCTTGACCAGGGCTTCCCGGGTCTGCAGGGGAGACAGCACGGGGCGAGTTGCTAGGGGGCACTCCTGGGGAGGGGGCTCAGTGCCCTTGGACTGGCACCCCTGAGTTCCTGGAGTCTGGCTTGGATGGGGACAAGAGTGTCTGCCCGGGAACAAGGGTCCCCTTGCCCTGGCCTGCACGCTGGGCGGGGGGAGGGGAGGCCTGGCCTGGACCCACCTGCTGGATCTTCCTGCCGCTCATGGAGCCGCTCTTGTCAATGACAAAGACCACGTTCTTGGCCATGGCGGTCAGCCCCTCGGGGGCAAAGTAGTGCACGAAGTAGCCATTCTCCACCTGCAGCCAGAGAGGCGTTGGGACGTCAGAGCTCAGCCCTGCCCACTGCCCCCCTCCACCGGGGCTAGCCTGTGCTGCCTGCTGGGCTGACTGGCCCCCCCACCTGAATGGAGCCCCCCGAGAGGGTCCGGTTCACGTCGTAGTGGACGATGAAGCTGCCATCCAGCGCTGTCTCCTGCTGCTCAGGGGACTTCTGCTGCTGGGCGAGCGTGGGCTTGAACAGGATGTGAGCCTGCAGACAGAAGGCCGGGAGGGTCAGGAGGGGTGCCGGGACCATGCTGGCGAGGGAGCACCCCGGGGGGGCCCCCCGGGGAGGGGGTAAGAGCAGGCCCCTGGGTGGGGGCTGTGAGCAGAGGCTCTCCACCTTGACCCGTGGCCCAGGACACTTACCCCTCAACGCTCTGACTTCTTTCCCAGACACCGACCTCGGGGTTCACCCTAGCACCCCCACCCTCAGGGCCAAATGGCAGCAGGTCTGGGGCTTCGGAGGGGCCTCCGCTTCAGGCCCTGCTCCCAGGAGAGCAGGCATGGGAGCCCTGCTCACTGAGCCTGCCCTTCCTGGGGCCATGGGTGGTGGGTATGGGCGAGGCGGGGCGGGCTGTGGGTAGCTGGGGCGTGGGCGGGGCCGTGGCAGGGCGGAGCGCGTACCTTGGTGTCGCTCTGGGTGGTGGTCAGGGCCTCGGCCAGCTCGTTGGTCAGGAAGGTGCTCTCTGTTTCCAGGAGTCTGATGCCCTGCGGCTCGAAGATGTGAATGTCCATCTGGGGGAGAGCAGGGGCCGCTGGGTCCTCGTGGCCGGGGCTCCTTGGGGAGG